AGGTCTACTCAATGCAAATTTGTACCAAAAGTATCAGGGTGTGACAGATTGGATGTAGCTAGGATGGTTCGCCTGGCTGCTGCATCTGACAATAAGGGGGTAGCTATTTCAGGTTGATATGAGGAGGAATGTCTTCACTCAGAGGGTATGGATCTTTGGAATTCCCTGCCCCAGCAGGACGTGGAGGATCAGTCATTGAGCATTTTCAACAGCAGATCGATAGGTCCTGGAGATCAAAGACATCACAGATATGTTGAAAGTGCATCAAGGTGGCAATGAGGTAGATGATCAGCCATGGTTTAACTGAACGTCAGAACTCCACTGAAGGGGTGAACGGCCTACCCCTGTGATCATTTTGCTTGCGGGGCTGGATGTAAGAGATCATTTGACACCAAGAAAAGCAGTCAAATTCTCCCCGTGCCCAGCACACCCCCTACACTCATCCAACTCCCCAACACACACACACACACACTCTACAGCAGTGAATACAAACCAAAAATTCACTCATTAGTTGTAATGTGTTTGAGGAGTCTGGTGGCTGTGAAAATGCTAAATAAATGCGAGTCTTGCTTTCACAGCATCAAGGCCATTGAGTGCACCTGGTGAAAACTCATATTTTAGATCAAGGCACAGGCAAATTGTCAAAATGGGTTTAATTCTGTCCTTTGCAATGGGGCTTTGCCTCTGTCAAAGGTATGTCAAAAAAAGGCAACACTTTTCAGTTCTGAAGAGTTGTCATACTGCACTCGAAACAATAACTCTGTTACTCTCTCCACAGTTGCTGCCAGATCTGCTGAGTTTCTCCAGCATTTTCTGTGTGTGTTAAAGGCTTAAATCTTTTACCTGATATCTAAGAGATGATTAGAAGCTAACTACCACAAGCAGTTTATTAGATTCAGCAACTATAGGGTTCTCCAGCAGATTAGATTCACATATTTCCTGTCCTTACGACACCCCAAAGTAGATCAGAATGGGATCTGTCAGGAAATGCAGCAAAAATTCATCTACAGCAACATATCACCAACAGCGGATGTAGTTGGACTGAGATACATAATCTGCATAGTTAACCATCATTGTACCAAGCAGCTTTCTGAAGCAGACAGATTGAACTCGTTCGTGGAAAGAATTCCCAGGCCAGGAGGTTAACCTTACCATTGAGCTGCAGGTCTGAGGTTACTTCCTTCTTTGCAATGTACTTGACCAGGAAGCCCAGATGAGTCTGGTCCTTGAGTCGAGTGGCTGCATTATACAGGAGTGTGCCTGTTGCCTTGTCTGGTGTAGAACCCAAAATTGCTTGTGCCTGGTGTTTGAAGGAGAGAGATAGAGTGAGCTATGGGTTGGGAGGACATCTGCACGTTAGAAGGCTCCCCACTCAATTAATTCCCAGAGTCATTAAACTGCCCTCAGCACATAGAAAACCAGATGTGACAGTCTCAGAAAACACAAATGCTGACTGTTCAGCTGCTCACTGGAGCAAACACTGTCCCCATGCTTAGCACCATGGCCAGCTAGCTTTATCATCAGTTATTAGACACGGTTATTCCTTTATAATTCTCATCTAATATCATCCAAAACATTTCTCCTTCATTAACTCACTCAGTTGTATGTTCTTCTCAATCTTGCTGACATTTACTGAAATGTAACTTTACACCTCAGCTTCCAGGCTGATCAAACCACCAAAACCTGTTCCCATCAAACACTCCCACCACCAGAACAGTGTGGGGTTAAGATACAGAGTAAAGCTTCCTTAACACTGTCCCCATCAAACACTCCCAGGAAAGGGGCAGCATGGGGTTAGAAACACAGTAAAGTTCACTCTATTCTTTTAAACTGGAAGTAAAGCTTTCTCTACACCATCCCCATCAATAACTCCCAGGACAGGTGCAGGACACGGTTAGATACAGAGTAAAGCTCCCTCTAGTCTTAAACTGAAACTAAAGCTCCCCGACATTGCCCTTATCAAACACTCCCAGGACAGGTACAGCAGGGGATTAGATACAGAGTAAAACTCCCTCTACTCCATTAAACCAAAAGTAAAGCTATGTCTACACTGTCTCCAGGACAGATGTATGCAAAATTATATTTTTTGTAAAAGCCAGTTTGACAGAACAATTTATAAAAGTGTTCAATGCATTAACTGATGTGCTGTCATATAAGTATTTCCACATGAACTAAATAAACCAATAATCGTAAAAATGTTTACAAATTTATGTCAGTTCTAAAATTGATAGTGACATCACCTAATGCTACCAAAATGCTGAGTACTTAAACTGGTTGTTCCCTCCACATTACCGCCATTTGAATAAAGCATTCCTCTCCAAAACTAATACAAGGGAAAAAAACTGAAATCTAATTTGTACTTTTACAACACTCTTAATGTTCAAACATCTGAGACCAATTCACACAGCAAGCCGCTTCACATCCCACAAAAAGTACTCAAATCAACAACCGCAAATTCTCGTTTAGCTGATATTGCTTGTGAGAAGTATTGTTCAGATCGCCCATAGATTTCTTCAAATGATGGTTCAGCATCTTGCACACCCAAAAGGATACGCTGACCCTTCAATAGTGGAGCACTCCCTCAGTTTTGACCCTCCAATAGTGGGCACTGTAGATGTGTTCTAACTGTCAGCCATGGTTGAGTTGAGTCTCTGGTCCCTGGCTTTAACCAACAGCTAATGACTCAAAGAAAAGGTTCACAGCTTACACCTACTTCCTCAACTATAATGGTATTATCACTGGACTGTTAATCCAGAGACCCAGATATGTTCTTGGGACCTAGCTTCGAATCCCACCACAGCTGATGGTGGAGTTTGATTCAGTAAATATCTGGAATTAAGAATCTAACGATGACTGTGAATCCATTGTTGATTGTCGGAAAAACCCATCTGGTTCATGAATGCCCTTACCTGGTCTGGCCTACATGTGACTCCAGACCCACAGCAATGTGGTTGACTCTTAACTGCCCTCAGGGCAATTAGGGATGGGCAATAAATGCTGCCTAGCCAGGGAGGTCCCTCATCCCATGAATGAATAAAGAAAAAAAAAAGTCCATTTGCACACTTGAGTACAATTTCTGCAAGTAACACTCTGTACTTAAATCTTTTCCCTCCTTCATTGGCTGAATCACCTTCTCACAAAACTTACCAAAGGTCCTCAGACAACACCCTTCAAACCCACGACCACATCACTGAAACACAGAAGACAGGAGTAGACAAGACCATTCGGCCCTTCGAGTCTGCTCTGCCATTCTTCACGATCATGGCTGATCGTCCAACTCAACAGCCTAATCCTGCTTTCTCCTCATAACCTTTGACCCCATTCACCCCAAGTGCTATATCTAGTTGCTTGTTGAATACATTCAATGTTTTGGCATCAACTACTTCCTATGGTAATGAATTCCACAGGCTCATCACTCTTTGGGTAAAGAAACGTCTCCTCATTTCTGTCCTACATGGTCTACCCCGAATCCTCATACTATATAGAAGAACAAGGACAACAGATTCATTGGTAACAGCACTAACTAGAAGTTTGCCGCCAAGCAACTCACCATCCTGACTTGGAAATATATTGCTGCTCCTTCAGTGCCACTGGGCTGAAATCTTGGAATTTCCTCCCTAACTGCATTGTGGGTCTACTTACACCTCAAGCACTGCACTGGTTCAAGAAGAAACTCACTACCACCTTCTCCAAAAGCAATTCAATGTGGAGAAATTACGCACAGAGTGGCCTCCTTCTGTGTTGTCAAATTTTCTAAACATCTGAAGTGGTGGAATTGATGGGAGGGGTGGTCTAACATAGACATAATGGCTCAAATGGCTTTCTCCTATGTTGTAACCAGTCCACAATCCTAATCAATGCTGGCCTTGCAAGTGATGCTCACAGCCCAATAATAAATACAAATGAATCAGAGATAGTAGGAACTGCAGATGCTGTTGAATCCGAGACAACAAGGTACAGAGCTGGATGAACACAGCAGGCCAAGCAGCATCATAGGAGCAGAAAGGCTGACGTTTCGGGCCGAGACCCTTCTTCAGATACAATACAAATATTTATATTATTTCATCCTCCCAGAACTTTATTAGATCTCATTCACTTAACTGACTTTGAACCCAGAAATCCCAATACTTGACAACACGGAGACAGGCCATTCAGACCTTCGTGCCTGTGCCAGTTTTGTGACAAAAAAAAAAGGGTGGTAGGAATCTGGAACTCACTCCCTGTGAGGGTGTGAGAGGCAGAAACCCTCACAGTATTGAGGAAGTATTTAGGTAAACATTAGCGATGTCAAGACATACAAGACCAAGTTCTAGGAAATGGGATTAGAATAGTTTGGTGGTTGTTTTTAACCAGCACAAGAATCGATGGGCCGAAAAGCTCCTCTCCGTGCTGTAAAAGTGGACGTCCAGGCCCAGGCCCGCGCCGAGGCCCACGTTCCGGGAGATATCTCCCACCCTCCACAGGCCATAGCCCTCGCTCCCACCTGCTCGATGGCCTGAATGAGGAGGCCGCACAGCGCCTGGTTCCTCAGGGTTTCTTTGGCTTTCTGCTCGCTCAAGCCGATCCCACAAAGGAGCTCAAACCCCGAGGCCGAGACGGAGACCGGAGCCGCCATCATTCACTCTGACCCCGCCGCTCGGACCCGCCCAGACCAGGAGCAGGGCCCGCCCCTCATTCTAACCAATTACTGCCCGTCCGACCGTCTGAGACTAGCCAATCACTGCGACATATGACGTCCCGCCTTCGGTGACTAGCCAATCACTATCCGATGTGGGTGCCCTCAGGCAGGTCCCACCTCTGTGGCCAGATTGACCAATAGTCATCGGACTTATGGTCGCGCCCCCTCAGAATCGGACCAATCCCTCCGCCTATCTCTCCCCGCCCACCGTCTAAGGACCATGGTGCCCAGATTGACCAATCACGTGCCGTCTGGGTAACAAACTGTCCGGTAATTGGTCAAAACCGCCCCCGCGTCCGTCTATGGCCCACCAATCGGAGTGACAGGATATTGCATCAGCCAGCACTATTGGAAGGTACGGTTGTATTCGAGGCTCTTCAGCCCATTCTATGTGTTCTAGTGGTTCACTCGGTGACCCAGACCGAGCGAAGCTTCATCACAGTCCTAGGTTCTGCATGCTTTATTCAGTATCTGGTAATGTCTTAAATCATAGAATACCTACAGTGTGGGAGCAGGTCATTCGGCCCATCGAGTTCACGCCAACTGTCTGAAGGGTCTCCCACCCAGACCCATCCCTGTAAATAGGGTACTAAAAGAGGTGATGGGGGAAATAGCAAATGCACTAGTAATTATTTACCAAAATTCACTGGACTCTGGGGTGGTTCCCGCAGATTGGAAAACAGCCAATGTGACGCCACTGTTTAAAAAAGGAAGTAGACAAAAAGCAGGTAACTATAGGCCAGTTAGCTTAACTTCAGTAGTGGGGAAAATGCTTGAATCTATCATTAAGGAAGAAATAGCAAGACATCTGGATATAAATTGTCCCATTGGGAACACGAAGGGTAGGTCATGTTTAACTAATTTGGTGGAATTCTTTGAGGACATTACTTGCATGGTGGACAATGGGTAACCTGTGGATGTGGTGTATCTGGATTTCCAGAAGGCATTTGACAAGGTGCCACACCAAAGGCTGCTACATAAGATAAAGTTGCACGGTATTACAGGTAATGTATTGGCATGGATAGAGGATTGGTTGACCAGTAGAAAGCAAAGAGTAGGGGTAAATGGGTGTTTTTCTGGTTGGCGGTCAGTGGCTAGTGGTGTGCCTCAGGGATCAGTGTTGGGACCTCAATTGTTTACAATTTATGTAGATGATTTGGAGTTGGGGACTAAGTGTGGTGTGTCAAAATTTGCAGATGACACTAAGGTGAGTGGTAGAGCAAAGTGTGCAGAAGACACTGAAAGTCTGCAGAGGGATATAGATAGTCTAAGTGAGTGGGCAAAGGTCTGGCAGATGGAGTACAATGTTGATAAGTGTGAGGTCATCCATTTTGGTAGGAATAACAGCAAAATGGACTATGTTTTAAATGGTAAAAAATTGCAGCACGCTGCTGTGCAGAGGGACTTGGGTGTCCTTGTGTATGAATTGCTAAAAGTAGGATTGCAGGTGCAGCAGGTAATTGAAAAGGCAAATGGAATTTTGTCTGCCATTGCTCGAGGGATGGAGTTTAAAAACAGGGAGGCTATGCTGCAGCTGTATAGGGTCCTGGTGAGGCCACACCTGATGTACCGTGTGCGGTTTTGGTCTCCTTACTTGAGAAGAGATATACTAACACTGGATGGGGTGCAGAGGAGATTCACTCGGTTGATTCCGGAGTTGAGAGGGTTGGATTATGAGGAGAGACTGAGTAGACTGGGATTATACTCATTGGAATTCAGAAGAATGAGGGGAGATCTTATAGAAACATATAAGATTATGAAGGGAATAGATAAGGTGGAGGCAGGGAGGTTGTTTCCACTAGCAGGTGAAACTAGGACTAGTGGGTATAGCCTCAAAAGAAAGGGAAGCAGATGTAGGACTGAGATCAGGAGGAACTTCTTCACCCAAAGAGTTGTGAATCTGTGGAATTCCCTGCCCAGTGAAGCAGTTGAAGCTACCTCGCTGAATGTGTTTAAGGCAAGGCTCGATAAATTTTTGAACAGTAAAGGAATTAAGGGATATAGTGTGCGGGCAGGTGAGTGGAGCTGAGTTTCAAAAAGATCAGCCATGATCTTATTAAATGGCGGGGCAGGCGCGAGGGGCCGGATCGCCTATTCCTGCTCCTAGTTCTTATGTTCTAATGTTCTTATGTTCTTAACCTGCATTTCCCTGGCTAACCCACCTAACCTACACATCCCTGGACACTATGGGCAATTTCCCATGGCTAACCCACCCAACCTACATGTCCCTGGACACTATGGGCAATTTCCCATGGCTAACCCACCTAACCTACACATCTCTGAATGCTAGGGGAGATGATGGCCAAATGGTATTATTGCTGGACTGTTAACCCAGAGACCCAGATAATGTTCTAGGGACCCGGGTTCAAATCCTGCCACAGCAGATGGTGGAATTTGAATTCAATAAATATCTGGAATTAAGAATCTAATGATGACCATGAGTTCATTGTCAATTGTCAGAAAAACCCACTTGGTTCACTAATGTGCTTTAGGGAAGGAAACTGCAATCCTTACCTGGTCTGACCTGTATGTCACTCCAGACCCACAGCAATGTGGTTGACTCCTAACTGCCCTTTGGGCAATTAGGGGTGGGCAATAAATGCTGCCTAGCTAGTGATGCTCCTATCCTGTGAATGAATAAAGGACTGTGGGCAATTTCCCATGGCTAACCCACCTAACCTACACATCCCTGAACACTATGGGTAATTTAGCATTGTCAATCCACCCAACCTGCACATCTTTGGACTGTGAGAGGAAACCCACACAGACACAGGGAGAATGTGCAAACTCCACACAGACAGTCACCTGAGGCTGAACTGTGCCTCCGTAAAATAAAGGAGCACAATTAGGCCATCCAGCCCATTGTGTCTACTGCACCATTCAATTCTGTCACGGCTGATCTGATAATCCTCAACCGCACTCTCCTGTCTTTACCTTTGATTCCCTTACTGATTTAAAAAGTGTATTTCAGCCTTGAATATACTTAATGACCCAGACTTGACTGGCCTCTGCTGTGAAGAATTCCACAGATTCACTCTCCTGTGAGAGAAGAAATTCCTCCTCATCTCTGTCTTATACTTGTGACTATTATTCTGAGATGATGCCTTCTGATCCTAAACTCACCCACAAGAGGGAAAAAAAATTCTTCAGGATCTACGCTGTGAATCCTCTATTCATCTTGTACGTTTTAATAACGTTGCCTTTCATTCTTTTATGTTCCAATGAGTGCAGGCCCAATGTACACAGTTCCTCCAGACACCTAGTGAAGCTCTCTCTCTCTCTCTCCAATGCCCGTATATACTTAGACAAGGGACCCAAAACTGTGCACACTATTCCAGCTGTGGTCTGACTAGTGTCTTGTATGTACCTTTCGTTAAACAAAACCTTCCTGCTTTTATATTCCCTGCCCTTTGAAATAAAGGCCAGAATTCTATTTAGAGTTATAGAGACCTTCTATACAGAAAAAAAGGTGCATTGCATCTGCACTGATCAAAAACAACCACCTAACTGTTCCAATCCCATTTTCCAGCGTTTGACCCATAGCCTTGTATGTCTTGGCATTATAAGTGTGTGTCTAAATACTTCTTAAATGTTATGGGGCTTTCTGCCTCTACCGCAGTTACAGACATTGAGTTACAGATTCCCACCAGTCTCTGGGTGAAAATGTTTTTTCTCACATCTCTTCTAAACCTTTGGCTCTTACCTTGAATCTATGCCTCCAGTCAATGATTTCCCTCCCAACTAAGGAGAAAAGTTTGCCTTCACAATTACCTCTCTAATTTAAATGCTAGCCTTTTGAGATTTATGGACAAGGATTCCTAAATCCCTCCGTCTTGTAGTTTTCTGCAGTTGCTTCCTATTTAAATAATCGAACTGTAGCCCCTCCACAGTCAGACGCTTTATTTAAAATTGTTTTCCCAAGCCTCTCCCCTACAAATAACTGCTTTCCTTTCCTCTGAAAGTTATCACAGTTACTTCATTCTGCCAACCTGTCTGCCGTCTTGAATTTTACCAACGTCGTTCACAAATCTTGGAAGTGTTGTGAACTGTAAGGAGGATGATGCAAAATTTCAAATTTGAAAGTATGCTGCAATCTTCACCGATTGTTTGATTTTAGTTGTTAGTGATGTGGTTGACACCCTCAGGGTTGTTCAGCAAGTGTTGTGCAATCCTAGGCTCAAACCCAAAACCCATTTTGTTTTGGGATTTTGCTCACGAGGGATGTTTGAAGCTATTATGAACAGCCTGCTGTTTGACTCAACCAGCCAATTGTTGGCACGTAGGGCCTACATACCTGACATCATACAGGAAGTGATATTCATTCATGTGTTCAGTCTTTGGTGCTTTTCTGATCAATGTTGATAAATGTGGAGTATGAAGCAAGCTGGTGATTGACTATTGCCTGGTTTGTGTTATTGCCCGAGACTAGTTTCATCTCCAACATTGGTTCTGGGAGCAGTCAGCTGTGTAGAGGAAAGAGGCCATTTCTGCCTTATTCCAATTACACAATCTTGGATTTAATTTTCTGGAGGCTCAGCTGCTTTGGGCTGTTAGAGATTCACAGATCATCTGTAGATTGTTAACTTTTTCTCTACTAGGCTGTTAACTCACTAACTAACTGTCTGTTTCACTCAGATGCTGGTTTGTCAGTGTTTTCTTCACTATAAGCCTGGCCTTCAGTGGATTGGATCTCTCTGCCATGGACTGTACTGTAACAAGAGCAGGTTGGAAGTGAGGTCATTCCATGAAGATGCATGTGCCCAAAAGCTTGTGTGACCCATCTGTGTTGAGTTAGCTGATTTGATGCAGTGTTCCTGGATGAATTACAATAATCTCAGTATCTTTGGGGCAGTTCATGGAGATAGGCTGTTCAGCCTATCTAGCCTGTGTCAGTCTCTACAACAGAAAACAAGCCCAATCACACTTATTCTTCCCATCTCCCTTCACCTACATTTCCCTCATTCCCATTCAGTCAAATTCTTGATGCTAGCACCATGTCTGTCTGATTGTGGGAGTAAATTGCGCAGCCTCTTTGTGGGGGTGTCTGTTATAAATCTTCGAACATTTAATCCTCTATCCATGTTCCCACTGTCTAATCCTGTGAAAGCAATCTATTCTCCCCACTCTGTCCCATTCTATCACTTATTAAAACACTTTGAATCATAGAATCCCTGTAGTGTGGAAATAGGCCATTCAGCCCATCATGAATACACTGACCCTCTGAGGAGCATCCCACCTCGATCCCTACACTATTCCCCTATTTCTATCATGTTGTCATATGATTTGTGGTGTTCTCACAAAAACAGACCCAGTTTTTATTGCCTCTTGTTAATATTTGTAGCTCCTCACTCCAGGCAACATGATCATAAGTCTGTCCTATACCCTGTGTAAATCCTCCACAATCATCCTGTAGCAGCATAACACATTGCTCTTACTGAGGGCCTACTGAGCTTATACAAGCTTGACATTACCTGTCAGCTTTAACAATATACAAGCCTAGAATTCCTTTCGCTTTGTACACTATAAACTTGAGCCGTAGCCTTGAATGTGACTCTGTATTTCCAACATCCCCCTGCTCTGCCCCAGTGCTGACATACTTCCATTCACCATGTCGTTACCACCTTCAACTTGACCAAACACATCACCACGCACTTACTGACACTGAATTCCAATTAATAGGTTTTTAAGCCATAGTGCTCTGCCGTTATAACGCCCTCCATCAGATTCTCACTTAACCCCACCAGCCCTCACTGGGCTCCTTCCCATCTCCATCCAGTGATGCCACACACACAACTGAATCTTTTATCTTTATCAGTAATAGGAGAACCTGATTGGAACTAAGGATCTGTGAGAGTGGGAAGAGAGGCAAACAAAGGAGTCTTTACACAAAGGGTTTTGGAGAATCGAACATTTTGTTGAAGAGAGAGCTGCATACAGTGATCATTGTGTACTTTAGGAAAATGTAACAACTTGAAGCAATAGAAAACAGAGCCACAGGGAGATGGAGGGCAGTGAGATTAGTTTGAGATTGATATAGGGCTATGGGGAGGGAGTGCATAAGTGGGATGAGTTTGGTATTGATACTGGTTTATGGGGAGAGATTTGGGAATCATAGAATCCCTACAGACTGGAAGCAGGCCATTCAGCCCATCAAGTCCACACTACCCCTCTAAAGAGCATCCCCACCACCCTATCCTATCCCTGTAACCCTGCATTTCCCATGGCCAATCCACCTAACCTGTACATCTTTGGACTAATTAAGGAAACCATAGCACCCAGAGGAAATCCACACAGACAGTAGCCCAAGGTTGGAATCAAACCCGGGTCCCTGGCGGTGTGTGGCAGCAATGTTAACCACTGAGCCACCGTGCCACTGGGAAGTGGGATAAATTTGGGGATTGATACAGCGCTACTGGATTTAAAAGTGTGAAGTGTTGTTATTAGCTTTGTAAAGATGGAATTGCAATGTCAATTGATGGATTGGGAGTGAGCTGTACATAGGATGATATTGGGGAGGTACATGTTGTCTTGTCAAGTATAATCAATGCCGTCTCCAAGCATCAGAGATTGCAATGGAGAAATTTCAATGCAAAAATAGAAAGTGAGGTGCAACATATGTGCTGAGGAAATTTAACTTGGGTGAATAAAATGATAGAGGAGAAAAGTTTGATTAATGGACAGCAAATTTATTGATGTGAATTTATGCTTTTGGCATCATGGAAAAAAAGAAGTTACACGCAGACATTGATTGATTTATTGTCACCTGTACTGAAGTACAGTGAAAAGCTTTGTTTATGAGCGATATAGGCAAATCATAGTAAGCAATGATATACAGACCTAAAAAAGTTAGAGGCATACAGGTTACATTGCACAGGGGGTGCACTAGGCAAGATCAACATTAACAAGATTAGCATTATTTGAGACTAGAGAGTCCATTCAACAGTCTGATTACAGCTGGGAAGAAGCTGTTCCTGAAACTGCTGGTGTGTGTGTTCAGACTTCTGTACCTTCTGCTTGACGGAAGAGGTTGTAGGAGATCATAACCGGGGTGCGATGGGTCTTTGATGATGTTGGCCGCCTTTCCGCAGCAGCGAGCTGTGTAAATGGAGCCCATGGATGGAAGGTTGGCTTCCGTGACGGTGTGGGCTGTGCACACAGTTTCTTACAGTCCTGGGCAGAGCAGTTGCCAAACCAGGCCATTATGCACCTGGACAGAATGGTTTCCGTGGAAGTTGGTGAGGGACTATATGAACTTGCTAGATTTCCTGAGTCGTCTGAGCAAGAAGAGGTGACATTGCCCAAAGGACATTACAGGCACATTTGATTATGTTTTGAAAATGACACAGGTCACAGGACAGAAGGCATTGATTCCAAAGTCCTGCCTAGCACAGGTAATGGGCCAGCTTATATGGGTCAAAGTAGGGCCAGGTGGTAGAGACGGGAACATGCAAAGAGAAACTCTCCCAAATTACAGGCACATTGCCTACATAAAAAATCCAGTATATTTGAACAAGCCATGCAATAAGATATTTTTATTTTGTTACTTGTTCATGGGATCTGCATGTTGCCAGCATTTATTACCAATCCCTGAACGCCCTTAAGCAGGTTCGACATTTGGATTTCTATCATGAACTGCCCTCTTGGGGAGTAGGTACTACCTGTTGGGGACATAGTTCCAGTATCTGTTACCCTTGTCCTTCGAGGTTATTCAGGTCATGCTTTGAAAGGTGCTGCCTAAAGACCTTTGGTGCATTGTGTGTCGATGCTGAAGGGATTGAATGTTTAAGATCACACATGCTCATACAGCAGCTGCATGGAAATAAGGTGGTGTTGCCCATATAACCACACTGCAAGGCAGAGTCAAATTCCTGAGTGTTAGCTCTTGGGCAGATCATAAAATCCACGGTCAATCCATTGCCATCCATAGTAACATCAGGCAGTCAATCCAACATCACTCATTATACATTGGACAGTAATCTCTGAGTTCACTGCTCCAGACCGTGAATGATACTGACTTGTGCAGTCCCTGTGACACAGAGTAATGGAGACTGTTGCCTCCTGAGCTGAAGCTGAGACTGGATCCTAATTACAAAAGTGACTTTGATCAATTATTCTTTTGGAAGCAAGAGGAGCAGCAAAGATAGGATGTGCATGCATTTGGAGAGGCAAGGAATGATTAGGGATAAGCAGCATGGTTTTGTGCGAGGGATATCATGTCTCACAACACTATTGAGTTGTTTGAGGAGGTAACCAAGAAGATTGATGAGGGCAGAACAGTAGACATTGTTTACTTGGACTTTAGTAAAGCCTTTGAAGATATTCCACGTGGTAGACTAATTGGTAAAGTTAGATCATATGGGGTTCAGGGGGAGCTTGCCAATTGGATACAAATTTGGCTTAACGACAGGAGATAGAGAGTGATGGTAGAGGATTTTTTTTGGACTGGAGATCTGTGACCAGCAGTGTTCCACAGGGATCAGCGCTGGGTCCACTTTTGTTTGTCGTTTATATAAACGATTTAGATGAGAATATAGGAAGCATAGTTAGTAAGTTTGCAGATGACACCAAGACTGGTGGTATAGTGGACAGTGAAGAGGTTAGCTAAGATTACAGAGAGACCTTGATCAATTGGGTCAATGAGCTGAAGAATGGCAAATGGAGTTTAATTTGGATAAATGTGAGGTATTGCACTTTGGTAAAACAAAGACAAAACTGATACAAGTAAAAGTAGGACCTTGGCTAGTTATCAAACAGAGAGACGTAGGGGTTTAGGTACATGATTCTTTGAAGTTTACATCACATATAGATAGGGTGGTTAAGAAGGCGTTTAGCATGCTTGCCTTCATTGTTCAGATCTTCCTGAGTGTAGGAATTGGGACATTATGTTGAGATTATACAGGACATTGGTGAAGCCTCTTCTGGAATACTGTGTCCAGTTCTGGTCTCCCTGTTATAAGAAGGATACTATTAAGCTGGAGAGAGTTCAGGAGAGATTTACCAGGATGTTGCCAGGAATGGCGAGTTTGAGTTATAAGGAGATGCTGGATGGGCTGGGATATTTTTCACTGGAGCATGAGATGTTGAGGGGTGACTTTATAGAGGTCTATAAAATAATGATGGGTATAGATAAGATAAATGGCAGGTGTCTTTTCCCTAGGGGAAGGATTTCAAGACTAGGGTCATATTTTTCAGGTGAGAGGAGAAAGATTTAAAAAAGACATGAGGGGCAACTTTTTTACACAGAGAGTGGTTTGTGTATGGATTGAATTTCCAGAGAAAGTGGTGGATGCGGGTACAGTTACAACATTTAAAACTCTTTTAGATAAGTACATGAAAAAGAAATGTTTGGTGGGATACGGGCCAAGCGCAGGCAGGTGGGACTAGTTTAGTTTGGGATTATGGTTGGCATGGACTGGTTGGACCGAAGAGTCTGTTTCGTACTGTATGACTCTAAGACCACCACACGTTGGCTGATGTGTTTTGCTGTTGTTCCTAGGATGAGCTGATTAATTTTTCTTGTCTGCCCTGAATCTGCAGATTAATGACTGACTGTTTATTGTCCCTGAAGTCTGGAGCGGTGTTTGATTTGGCCTCTGTCCTTGTGGCCATTGTAACGTCCTTCCCTCTGTAATCTCTCAGAGACCCAAGAGGTTACTGTGCCAACCACTGGTTAATTATGAGCCATTTACCAAAGACTCATTTAGAGTCCTGGATAGGATCATAG